AGGCAATCGTTCGATGGGCTGAATTGCACAAACGCATGATCGCACCGGCTAGTCTGGTGCGCGTTGTCATTCATTTCCTTTAAGAAGCGGGTGCATCCGGAAGTAGTCTGAATGGTAGTAAATGCCAGCAGCAACCACTCGCTGGCAAAACTTCTGATGGCTCCCTCTCCCAAGGATTGCTAAGCAGCAAATTTGCTGGTGGTACTACAAAATAAACCCAGGAAATTTAAGGAGAAGAAATACCAAAAACCAATTACTCGAAAACAAAATAATTAAAATTTAAAAAGAACAAATAATTGTAAAAGAACTAAGTGCGAAAAAAACTCAAAAAAACCAATAATTCCAGGGAAAAAGTGTGGAACTCCGGAAAACAACTACAGATTTCAAAACTTGTAAAAAATTTACATGAAATAATAAGTTAGCAAAATCATCAAAAATCAAGATACAAGAAGGCTGAATACTTGCGAAAGTCCATAAATACTCCTATTTACTTACGGGTCTGTGAATTAATCGATTTTTCCAGTTCCTGAACATATGATATTGCAAGTTCAGCGGATTTTTCAAAGCAAAACAATGCTCTCATGCGCGATTTCTCCACCTCTGCTTTCTTCATATGTTTCATCAACGCTTCAATTGAAAATCCTGGAAATGAATGAAACAACCGTACTCTGAACAAAAGTTTTTCCTAAAAATGCTCTTTTTGCCTCAATATCTATTTCTGAGCTCAAAAAAAAAAAAAAAAAACAAACCTTTGATGGCATAAGCTTCAGCAACGAGACGAAGATCGCGCAGTGACTCAAAAGGAGTGTCGCCATATTCTAATCGAGATTTCTCGATACACTGGACAGCTTGCTCAAACTCTGCGCTGCAAAATTTCCTTCACTGCACTTTAAAGAATCACTAAAACTGGAAAACTATTTTCAATAAAAATTCGAAAAACACAAACCTTAAACCAGAATGTGCAACATGCAATAAATTCGCAATCATAAAAACCCTACGGAGCAGAAATGCATTGAAAAGGTGACTGGTGCAAAACAAATCTTAAGGAGAATACTGCGTTAGCTGTGGTCGGTCCTGGCAAGATTACCTGGCCAATATGGCTTGAATTTTAGTGGTACTGAAAGGATAACAAGGAAAAATAATACCCTCGGACGATCCTCAAGGCTTTTTTCCTCCAATTAGCTCCGTAAGCTGCAGGTAAACACAACCAATTTCGCTCAAACTTAATAGGTAGGCGATGCCTGATATAACAAAAAAAAAAGCCATGTTGGAAGGCTAAAAAGATTACCAGTAATAATGGAGCTTTGCGAGAAGCAAATTGGCCTCCAAATGTACTGTGGTCTTCTCCGAAATCGATGATTCCAGTGTAGTGCTGAGAAGTTTCGCAGCTTTTTCGAGTTCCATCTTATTTTTTGCCTTCGGTTCCAGCTGTTCTAAACAGAAAAAGCATTCCACACAAAAATGACTGCAGTATGGGATGAAACTTAGAGCATATAAGAGAAAAAATAATAATTTAGTTAAAATTAAGACGTTTCGGTCCATTAAGCTACAGAAGTTTTTAATTCAGTGCCACAACTGAGTTTCGTCCGAACAATGGTTATAATACTGTGAACAATAAGTTCAGAAATTAATAAAATAAAAACAAAAAAAAAAGTGTGTAGGGGAATGGTAATGTATACATTCAGTTGTATCTTGTCATTAATTGATAGACCTTATTACCTTATTCATCCTGTCGTACCACAGATATCCTACAGACTAGAACGAAAACAACACGAAATATGCTTAATTTTTGCCTGGACGACAATCGATGTGAAGATCACAGTTGTGTAAGTGATGTTACTGTATTGCTCTTACCCGCCCCCACTGCAATATCTCAAATCCTCGGACTTAATCTTACTTCAGAACAACTAATTGTTCAGCAGCAAATTTCACAGCTCATATATTGCAATCGAAGTACTGGATCTGAATACTGCATTTGCCCAGCAGAACAGATCACAGAGCAATCTAAGTTTCATTCCTTAGTTGTAAACACAGACACGGTCATATGCCCGGACAAGGAGTGCAGATCATCAGTACATCCTTCTACTCGTTTATGCTCAGGTTAAGCGGGGGGCAAATAATTTCGACAGGATTTACTGAATCTTATGCTTTTTCGCGATATGTTTACCTGAGCATGTGCACAGGATGTGCATGTAACTAGATTCTTAATATCAGATTTAGGTGATCTTTAAAGCTGCAATCCATCGAGTTTGTTTGATTTTTCTCACAAAATGGTAAGTTTAAAAAAAAAAGAAGATGCACCGGCACTGCGATCGACAAACGATTCGATGATGTACTCCGCTTGCAGTAGATCCCCGTAGTGCTCCATGCCACTGTTCTTGCTGCGAATCGAGAGCAGCAGATCGCCAAGACGTTTCCAGTTGCATTCCGAACGGCACTTGTCCACTTCGGCTTCCAGTCGGCTTCCTTTCAACTTCGAACTCATCAGATCTGCAACAGCAATGCCCCTCGTTAATGGAACTACTGCCCCCTCCCCCTCCACCGGCCCCATGCCTTTCCCCTCGAAAAAAAAGTTTAAAAGATCGGCTTTTCAGTGAAACCAGCATTACGAAGGCCACCACAAATGGTCCGTGCAATTACGATATTCAGGAAAAGCGGTAGACCAAATGTAGTGGAATTAGCAAACGGAAACAAACAAACACAGACAGGACATACCACACAAAATACATGAGCATACAGACATACATGAGCATACAAACATACATGCACATACAAACATACATGCACATACGGAAATACAAATACACATACACACACAAGGAAACAAACAGACGCGCACACACAAACATACACGTACACGCAAACATATACGCAAACAGAAACATATGCGTAGATACAAACATACACGCACACACAAACATCCATATACGCGCATGCACAAACAAACAAACATCTAAAAAACCACACACAACTAAACGTACACACAAAAACAGACACAAACCAAACATGCGGCACACAAATAGGTGGGAATCAAGTCTGCATCCGAAATGTGCAGGAGAATTTGGCCCTATTTTCATAGTTCGAGGCCCGGTAGGGGGCTGGAATTTTCAGTTCGCAGTCATTGTAGCGCCAGGCATCAAATTCATGAAATTTCAGCTTTCTAGCTTTTCGGTCTTGAATTCAGAAACAGGTGACAGTTTCACGTAAATAAATACACGGACAAAACCTCAACACATGCAATACACATACCTTCACGTACGTAAAAACACGTGAAAAGAACACGCCAGAACTCCAACCCTCTTTGCTCACCAGAACCGAAATAGACCGTGACAAAATCCCCTCGCCACCCACTAGTACTGAATTAGGCTGTGAACCAAAAGTTAAAGTTGGCGCAATGCCAATCGAAGGCATTCTTTGCAGGAATTCGCTTAATATAAATTTCACACGGGCAACTTTACCCCCACCTCTATCCAACAAGGAGCAGTGGGAATCAGTTGTCATGCAAATCGAGGGTTCGATTTCGTTCCAGTGGGACAACAAATCCCTTTACGACTCTTTCATTCGTTTCGATGGTAAACTGGTACCGGGCATATGTGAGCAAATCAAATGCGCCATCAGCTCGTTTGTAAGTTATCTGTCGAAAGAGAAAGTCATCGACGTGATGCACCGAAACATTCCTATTCAGATTTTATTTTTATTCACATTTTTCATTTTCATCCTTTTACCGTCTTTCATAATCATAAAAACATCTTAATTTAGTGGGTAGTTACTTTTGGCATTTACAACTACTCGGACTACTTTTCGAGTGTCTTCGCCTCTCACAGTAAGTGGATACGAAAAGATTCTAGTATTAAAATGGGAAATTGAAAGCTTGACGCCCTAAAAAAAATCATGCCTGATAATAAGCCCTGAACATTGCTGCTCTGCCATTCGCTAAACTGGATTTTACGTTCAGTTTTTTTTCGTCGATTCATGGATTATGGCATATCCTGAAAAAAACTAGAAAATAATGATTACGGTCGTTTTGAAGACAACTGAATTTCACGCATTCAGACCTTCTCACCGTATCGTGGGAGCAACCCAAAACAGTGCAAATCTCTGTCCGAGGAATCCTCCAAATTCTCCAACAGTCGATATCATCAAACGTAAGAAAATAGAGAATGCGAACAAATGACAAGACAAATGCGCCCGAACGGAAGAGGTTCACAAGTGCGGGTTAGATTTTTGATCATTGAGGACGGGAAAAAGCAGTGATTTTTAGGTTTCGGGTACAAGAACTTTGAAGAGGGTTTCTTATCCACGCGTTTTTTACACGGAATATTTGTAAACAAAAGGACGAAGAAGAGTGCAAAGCAAATAATGATCTTTTTCTCACCAAGGGTTGTGTGAAAAATTTCAGCTTCACTTTTTTTTCTTTAAAAAAAATCAGCACTGAAGCGAATTTTATATTTGTTGATACTGAACTGAACGCTACACCTACACGCTGTAACACCTAGCCAGAAATTATACGCAGAGGGCTGCCGGCTGGCGCAAATTAGAAGTTCATTGATGACCTCAAAGTATCGAACCGGAAGGACAGTGTTCACCACTTTCTTTCAACCATGCTGTGTTGAAGTAATAACGTGTGGATGCGAAACGTGGTCACCAATGAAAGCTGAAGAGTGAGCGCTGACAATGATGGAGAGAACGATGAAATTTTTGAGGAACGCAACGTCAGCTCGTCAGCACAAAAATCACGCCTTTTTTTCCCCGGAAATTCGTGGTGGCAAATTTTTCTTCGGCAGTCTCAAGCTGAAGGGGGGAAGAAAATCCGAAGTTAAAAAAAAGTGAGTGATAGTGAGGGTCAAAAATCTGTTGTATTTACGCAATTTTAAAGATAAGGAATACGAGAAAAATAACATCCCGAACTTTTTTTTTCTCACGTAACGAGAACAATGGAGAAATAATTTCCTGAATTTGCCATTTCCTCTAATAATTTACACCCACTGAGCGAAAAACGGGAAATGTGGCGGATGTAATGAAGTGAAGCGAAGAACTGTGCATGGAGATGAGACAGCAGAGTCTCGGAAAAGAGGGATGAGATACAAACAATAAAACGCTTAGTGCAAGAAGCTTATCGTAATGCCCGATGTTCAGTATCATGTATGCTGCCTCGTTTTAGCTGTGGTTGGAAACAGTGTTTCGCTGTGCAGGACAACAAAACTATGTCCTGCATTTCGAATACAAGTGGGTGTACATGTGCGTATGGGTGTGTGTATGTGTGTGTGCTGTATGTGTGTATATGTGTGTGTATATGGGTGTGTATGTGTGTGCGTGTGTGTGTGATGTTTATCAAGCTATATTTTGAAGTAATGCTCTTACTGCATTTATTTGCGGTTTAATAACCCAAATTTGGGGTTCACACATCTCATCGTAACGTCACTCACTGGAAATAGTGAAAAGCATACAGCTGAAAATAGTGCGCTCTATATGACTTAGTATCTACTGAAATCCTACTACTTTAGTGCTGTTAATAGCTGGTGCTCTATGAGCGGTCCAAATGCTTGTGAATTTAACATTTGAAAACAGTTCCAAGGCTAAAATATTTATTTATAGGATTGCAAGCGTCAGAGAACACTGGAATCGGGAACGATTTCTTTCGTGAAGATTAGCAAGCGTTCATCTGCTACCAGTCACACTTCTTGAAATTTTTATGCATTTTTACCATCTGGCTGAACAAGTATTCTCCAGGAGGCAATTCTAATTGCACTGATCTGCGTAATTTTTCCAGCAACAAGATCCGGGGTAACAGCTCCAACACCACACTCATAATGCACCTCTCACTGCTCGGCTGTTCCCCTCCCCTACCCCCATTCACGTTTCTTTGATCAAAAACTTTAGTGCCATGCCCGAAATCTTTCGCCTGGAAGATTTTTCAGTTTTGAAGTGCAGTGCATAACTCGATTTTTAGATTTAAAAAAAAAAAAACTTCGAGTACATCATAATCTTCGCTTAATTATTATTCACTCCCATATAGCAGAGGTTTTATCCTTTAGTATTTCCAAAAACATCTCGCAATTAGCTGATATCTACTCTACACGAATAGCATTTACAATTCTACTTAAACCAAATAAGTAACTTAGAAATTAATATTAAGTAAATATATCCCCTCCCTCCTCTCCCCCGATGCATATTTTTCTTAAAATATATCAAAGAAGGAAAAGGAAATTTTTTTTTTTTAAAAAAACTTTCCAGGAAAAAAGAGGGAAAAAAAGAAAAGTTTTTAGGGGGATTTTTGGGTCAAAAAATTTGGCAGAAACAGAACGGGACATTAATTCAATAACATTTGGTATTGCGGTTTCCAATCGATTTTGCGGTATTTTCAAAAACAGACACTAAGGACTGTTTTGTTCATTAGCAAATTTTTAATAAGAATGAGCAGATAAGAAACGCGCGCGACGCTAGAACAAGGAGAAGCTTAGAAAATCTAACTGAATGGATAAAAATGATAAAAACTGCGAAGAATGGAAGGAGAAAAATTTCAAAGAAAAGACCAAATACACAAAAAATGCATTTTGCATAAATGTCACTGATAACCCGAGAAGGGTATGCGAGCGAATAAGGAAAACATCGCAAAAATTACAAACTAATCCTAGTGCCCGAAGGCCACCGAGAAAAAAAAAA